GTGTGTGGTTTTCTTTTTACAGCTATCACCTTTTGAAATGAGTCTTTCTAAGTGCGGACTATATTACACAGAATATACTCTGAAATTTTTTCTCTCGGTGTTAATATTAAAGATGTCCTCAGTATCCAGTTATTTCTTCATTTTCCGTATGTTTAATAGTATACTCAACTTGAACAAAAACGCTCCTATGTACAACAAATAATATTAAAGTACGGTGAGTTCAGTACGGTATATATTAACCAATTTGGCGGCGAATGCATTACAACCAGTACTGGAAATATATTCGGTTTATTGCATTAATGATTCGTTTATTTTTGCAGTTTCTATGCAGAATTGTTCCTTTGACTCTGATAATAAATTCATGTGCTAGTTTGACATTAGCAATCTTTTCATATGTGTCCCATTGAGGGAAACAATTGATATTTGTGCATAAGTCATATATCACGGTCATTTGCATCCCCCTTCCAATTTCGGCCGTCCTGGGTATGACGATAAACTACATCCGCGTCCTGGGTAAGACGATAAACTACATCCGCGTCCTGGGTAGGACGATAAACTATATCCGACAGCAAGGCCTCTGATCAGGAGTTTTTGTGGAGCGTGGAACCACCTCTTATTGCTGATGTTTCCAGGTCCACCCTGGACCGGGGTGGTAACACCTGTCAGGGTCCCAGCTATGAGCAAATATTTAACCCGAAAACTGGAGACAAAACGCTATGAAAATATAAAATAGTTTTTAATACCAGCAATACATTTTTGAAAAAAAAATCTTTACCAGCAATACATTTTGGAAAAAAATATTACCAGCAATGAAAGTCTTGTCGGCATTAAATAACCCATTGAGGTGGATATGCCATAAAACAAAACAAAACAAACCGAACCTTCCAATTTCGGAGGCTGTATCCATTGAGTTTATGGAGCCTGTGTACAGACAAACTAAAGGGATAACAATGAGTAGTCCACTGGGCCCAGCCATGACAAACATTTGTGTTGGATTTCATAAGAATCGGCTATATTAAAACCGTTTTCTGTCGTTGGCATCGAGGAAAAACTCGGAGGTGTTTCATGGGTTACTTAAAGATTTGTATCCAACTTTAAGATTCACATGGGAAAAGGAAAATGATATGGCATTGCCTTATCTTAACATATTTTACTAAGTCTTATACTCGTGAGACTCCAAGACTCCAAGACATTGGTGCAACAAGCTTTGAAAATTTGCTCTCAATCTGAGTTACAATCGGAGATTGAGTTCCTCATGGGATGTTAGTAGATAATAGTTACCCGCCAGATGTTTCGGTATCTTGCATTCTTGTTTCGTTCTTTAGGACTTCATCGGACTGAAGTGATTTTTACGTTGATGTGATTACACATGCACATCAAGGAGAGGGGACGCTGAGAATATTATGCCCAAATTTGATTATTAAAAGAATTGCCTTTTTGGTATATAGTCAGCTATTTTTGATTTATTTAGTTTATTTTTCTTTTTTATATTTTTGTGACTTTTGTTATTAAACATACTACATTGTGATAATTTGACGATCTGCCAAGAATGATCTGGCATAGACTTTCCTCCAAATATATATATATATATATATATATGGGATGGTACATTTCTAGCATATATATATATTGTTGTGGTACGATTCACCTAATTTACATAGTGGAGTACCGACCGATATAAATATGGGTTGGTACCGGAAGACGGGAAGGAGAAGTAAGAAGAGATCGAATCGAGAGACTCTGCCCGACTGCGATTAAGTCAACCCATTCTGCAGGAACAGTCTTCCCAAGAATATACCAAAACTAACTGTAAATATTGTGTACCTTTTCCTTGTTTCAATACATTTTGTTTACGTACATTTTGTGTTGTATTATTATTATTCCATGCTTATCCAAGCTTCATCATATATAAAAAGATTTTATTTCATTTTGTATCAGATTTTCCTTATATATACATAGATGCAAATTTTAGACAATATATTTATTATCCTATATATATATATATATATATATATATATATATATATATATATATACATGATAAATATATAGTTTACAATTGCATTCGTACTTTCTTCTTTATGTACTGTATTCCCTCAGGATGTAGGCGATCTCCACAATTTTCTGTCCTCTCTAGCTCTTAATATATTGTATACTTTCGTTATTTCTCCTAAACCTTGTTGTACCACCTATTTACTCAAGCTCATCAAGTATGTTATGCGCTGTTTCCTCTCTCTTCCTTGCCCTTAATCTGTCCTGTGTGTATCAGATTTTCGAAGCCCTCCTTCCTCATTAGCTAGAAATTTCAACTCTATCCCCCTGGTATTAAGGATACGTTTCAATTTTGCTCACATGTTGGGTCCATGTAGAACCGCATTTCTATTGTTTCAAATCACTTCTTCATCTGTGAAAAGGTTTTCTAGCATTCACGTCCATATTGGACGACAGATAACCCGTAGAATTTCTGTACCTTTTTTTTTTTTTTTTTTTTTTAACTTTTTTCTGTTTCTTAATATTCTAGTTATCTTTTGGAATGCATCTTTGTCTATCCCACGTCATCTTCGGATTTCAGTGTCACACTTCCCGTCCTTCATTAGAACACTTCCCAGATATTTAAATTTTTTTACTTGTTTGACCAAGATGGTGAAATTTAATAAATCTAATTTTTTTTTTGGTCCATAGATCTGTTCACTAGGTTTGCTAAGCAAATTTATCAAAGGTATTTTCGTCCTAACCTTCGCTGAATTCTGTTTCTTAGCACGTTCTGCTTCCACATCAAGTGGGATCAGTTATTTAAAATTATAAATGTCAGTGTGAAGCTGGATATATAGGCAGAACTAATAAAGTATTAGAGACTGGAGTATATCAGCAGGTTGTAGCTAAGATCAGTTGAGGGATATAAGATAATTTGCATTTGGTTAATACTTCAGATTCAGTGATTTCTAAAAAATAAATAACCCGGTATAGGTTACCAGGGATCATAATTAGCAGAGCGCACTCCGATTACCAATTGAAAATATTAGAAACTTTATACATTAGGTCTAGGCACCCTTCCCTCTGTGAGTAGAAGGAATGACTGCTGGGACTTAATATAATCGGAGTGTGGTTATATATTTTTTCTTTGCTGATTCTCCGGTTGTTCTTTCTTTTTAATATTGCACACACACTTTACGCTCCTCATTTAGCTCCGAAGAGCAAGGATCGAAAAGCAGTCAGCATCTTTTTATTATTTGCTTTTTTAGTTGATATCTTTTCGATTCACCTCATTACAGTTATTTATTTTATAATCCTGGCTCTTGCCGCTACTGCTTGTAGCTTCTTTTTTTATAATGTTCGTTTTTATATCATTAATAACGAATAATGTAGAGAACACGTAAAATAACTGTTTTTGATTTCTAAATGAAATTAATTCATGCGTTATGTTCTGTTCAAAACCTATATTTAAACAACATTTTAACGGAATCATATTTATTTTTAAGAGAGCAAACATTAGTCAGGATCAGTTTACGACGCTACACCTCAAGTTGCTAGATAAATTCAGTTTTTTCCCGACGCGTTTGAGGCATAACACGCTATACACATGCATGAGATACATCCTCCTCTCTTTTCAGGATCCTTGATGACATGCATTTTGCCCTCAGCTTTTTAGGGGTTCACAGTAGGATGTATTTGAGAAGCAAAATGTGGAGCTTTTCTTTTATGGGAATCGATATTTAGTCAGATATTCAAAGGACTTCTTCGTATTCCTTGTCACGAACTCAGAAATCACTTTTACTCTGATGCTGTGGTCAGAATGATTATTTTTTCAGTAGATCATCAAAAATTACCAGCTATCTAGTTTCTTCAGAAAATACATGGTCGTCGAAGAAAGAAAGAAAAAATAAAAAGAATAAAAAGAAAGAAAGAAAGAAAGAATGAATGAAAGAAAGAAAGAAAGAGAGAAAGAAAGAAAGAATAAAAAGAATAAAAAGAAAGAAAGAAAGAATAAAAAGAATAAAAAGAAAGAAAGACAGAGAGAAAGAAAGAAAGAATAAAAGAATAAAAAGAAAGAAAGAAAGAATGAATGAAAGAAAGAATGAATGAAAGAAAGAAAGAGAGAAAGAAAGAAAGAAAGAATAAAAAGAATAAAAAGAAAGAAAGAAAGAAAGAATAAAAAGAATAAAAAGAAAGAAAGAAAGAATAAAAAGAATAAAAAGAAAGAAAGAAAGAGAGAAAGAAAGAAAGAAAGAATAAAAAGAATAAAAAGAAAGAAAGAAAGAAAGAAAAAAGAAAGAAAGAAAGAAAGGAAAGCCAACCGGCTCCACAGAAATGACGTTTTAGCCTTTCGAGGTCGTCATGAAAATTCCGGTTTGGGGCAAAATGAAGGTTGTTCTTCAGAGTAGGTATTAAGAGAAGGGACGAGAACCATCTTTTTGTGCAAAGCATGACTTCGGAAAGAGCGGGATATTTGTATGCAATCTGTTCATATGATTAAAAATACATAATTACAACAAACGAAGATCTTCATTATATAAAACAGTCAAGTGATAAATCCTGCAGGAAAAATATCTATGAGGTTCTTAGTTTTGGTGACTTTTGGAGAACCCCACCCAAATAACTGTAAGTTATCATATAATGTATAATTTTCTCGGTCGGTTCAACTGCTCGGAGGAGTGGGATGGAATATCCACTTGGTTATTGAACCCTTGATCAGTCAGTAGAGAGTCAACCGCTGATCAGTCAGCAGAGATTGAACCTCTGATTAGTCAGTAGAGATTGATCCTCTGATTATTCAACAGAGACTGAACCGCTGATCAGTCAGCAGAGATTGACCCTCTGATCATTCAGCAAAGATTGAACTCCTGATCAGTCAGCAGAGATTGAGCCCCTGATCAGTCAGTACAGATTTGGCATCAATTTCAGGAAGGAAGCCATTAGGGACACGTTTTTTTTTCAAAATTGATGAAATCGTTTAAACGGCAGTACCAGTTTAGTTTAGAAAATCTCATGGCAGACCGGATATGCGCACGCCATTCAACGTTCCGGTAGCAATACTCCTACGAGCCGAGCCAGACGATGTAACTCGGTCAAATTTGATTCAGTGTTTCATACTCTCAAAGTTGTCGCGCCACGAATTGGTCAAACACATTGAACGCATCTGTTGCGTATACGGTTATAAGGGCCCGTTTGATCTCTTCCGCATCTGCCTTCTGTTCCTTACTCAGTTGCCGACACACGGCGAGAGCACTGCCTCGCAGTCTTAGCGGCAAAACATGTTCGACTTTGTCCATGGTACAGAGCTCGCTGACTAACACAAAGTTTTTGATCCATATTACGATCGGCAGGTCAGTCTTGTCACCGTTGAACTGCGGGATCCGCTGGGAAAAAAGGTACTGCTAGTACAATAGGTTCACTAGGCAAAACAAATCCTCTCGGCGTCGTGATCTCCAGCACGCCACTCCCTGTCAGAAACGAAATACGAACTATCGTTGAATGAGCGTACCGTGATTTTATGCACCTGACCCAGCCAGCGCTAAGCTTATGAGCGCCCAGAACCAGCCAATAAAAATGGCTACAAGCGACACCACCTCTTCCATCAGCACGATTCGTCCGAAGCAATCCGATTCGCTGTCTCTACGTTCCCTTGCTGCAAAACACACACGTGACTCTGGCTCTTTTGGGTCGCCTATTTAAGAAACCGCTACATATAAGTAGAAAGAAAAACGGCTCCTTTAACATGATTTTATAAATGTACTGATGAAAATTCCAAATCAGATATTTTCACCAAGATTTGTTTCGAGAATTGCAAAAAAAGAAAAATGTAATTCCTTCTTGTCCAGGTAAGCGCCACACTTGCTGCATGCTTGGGCGATCATAAATCTTCCAATTCATGAGGCAGAAGATTTTCCCGCAGTAGATAGCTGTTTCTTTCTGAGGTAGACTGGTTGACAACCAAGGCTATAGGACCCAGTCTGTCCTACTGTTTCACAAATAGCTAGTGGGAGAAGAAATGGATTCATACCAAGGATATTTGCGTGTAAATCAATGAACCCGACTGGAATCATACTTATTATAAAACCCAGGTTGTGTGTGTTTGTGTGTGTGTCTGTACGTTTATATATGGGATCGGATTTCCTACATTTTTCAACCGATTTCAACAAAACTTCACAGGATTACGTAAAATTACCTTGCGGAAAAAACACAATTGTTTTTGCACGAAATCAATTTGAAAACACGATTAAGAGGCATTAATGAAAGGGGGACAACTCATATCGTGTTATACTTATTTTAAAACCCATGTTGTTTGTGTGTGTGCGTGTGTGTGTGGGTGTGTGTGTTCGTTTATATATGAGATCGGATTTCCGACATTTTACAACCGATTTCAACAAAACTTCACTTTTTTGGGGGGCAGATAGTTGTACACTTTTTTCTTTATTTTTACATTCAGAATGCTTTAAAATTCCATTTACAAGACAATTGTTTATAATAAAATTCTATTCAATCGATAGACTCATAACGATTGAAAACAATGTTTTTGTTTGAGTTTGGGCTTGACTAATTCGTAAAAAAACAAAAAAAAAACAAAAAAAACTAATTAAGACATGCGTGTCCGTCAACCTTAAACAATAATCTTTGTCAATTTTATCTTTCAGTCTTTATGATGGTCGATACTTGATCTATCTCTTACTGTTATATCCCCGGGTAACGCCGGGTTCTACTGCTAGTTCAATATACATTGCAGCACAACGCATTGGTATCAAAGCGTACAAGTTTAATATCTTCTGAGATTCTAGTCATTGCATTTTTGAATGCTGGCGTCGCGTGATTCCAGCGGTAACATTTGGGGCAAGTAGTTTATTTCCGCCATTAGAATATAAGAGAAAATTGACAATGGGTCGACCTTCTTATCACTACTAAATATTCTAGCAATTCTCTGTGATATTAAATGTTTATAGGTCTCTCAAAACGAAAACTCACTTGTTTAATTAATGCAATTTTGTTACCGTTACTTCATCCGTTAACGTCGTAAAGATAAAGGATTCCAAGGATATAAGTAAAGATTTTGTTCTGTTACTGAAACGACTGAAGTTACTATGTGAACCACTTGTCTGGTAGGGTATCATCTTCCTACTGCCTTTTTGGGCTGTATAGATCAAGGAAGACGTGGCGGGGAGAGCAACAAGGACATCTTCATCAGGTTGTGATTCCTGCGTGTGTAAAGTACTTGAGGACGATATTGATTCCAACACATTTCTTTCAGATAAGTTCATGTTTAAATATTTCAAAAGCTTTTTTCCCTATTCGTTATCCGTTACTTGTAGAGGGTGTTCCAAAACTTGGACCGATTTTAAATGTAAATTTAAATAATAATAATAATAATGAAATCTAATAAATTCTTAAATTTCTTTCAGATTTGTCAGGCATCTGGGCGAAATTATTTTTCAGACATAATTGCCATGACTGAAATAACATGAACCTATAGAGAAATAAATTAATTTTCACCAATAACACTGATTTATTTACTGCTGACTTTGATCCGTCTTAATGAAACACCCTTATATATAATCCGTCTTAATGAAACACCTTTTACTTTTATTTTCTTTTTTTCTTCAAGTTTCTTGTCGAATTCAACCGTGCACCCGCGCCTGCCCGAATCGTATTGAGAAAGCAAGAATTCAAGCATCCGCTGAATATTGATCATTTCGAGAGCATTCCCGTGAGCAACATCAAACAGATTCACAATGTCTGCTGTAATGGCTTCCCTTATTCTTTCTTCTTTTTTTTTTTTTTTGAGTTTCCACCTGTCTAGTTTTATTTGTCTCGAAGGTCTCCCAAATCATTATCCAGAAGAGTGACTCATTGCATCTTCTTAGGATAACGTTTTCCGCTGATATGAAGTGGAAATTTTATATTAAATCAATTGCTCGGGTTGCTCCTAGGAATGTTGGATGACTGTGTCGTGCTAGACAATTTTTTTGTCGTCAAAATCTGTATTACACATTTATAAGTTTGCCATTCGTCCAAGCATTGAACGTTGCTACTACATCTCGTCTAGTGCTACAGTTATGTATTTAGAGATTCTTGATAAAATACGAAGAAAAATCTGCAATGTTATTATTCCTGACCTGGCATCTCGGTGTCATTCATTTTTTTTGTCGTAATTTAGCTTCCCTGTGACTTTTCTATACAGGGTAATTGTTCGGATAAACATTCCTCTATGTTATCTAGACTTCAATTTAAGCGCATTACTAGATTGGCTGCAAGGTCTCATAATTTTATTGAAATGGCTAGTTGTAAACGTAAGTTCTATGCTTACAGTTCCTCTTCTCCATATCTCGCTTGCAGAATCATTTTCTGGCTTCTTGCTTTCCAGTAAACATTGCCAATGGCACGCCAATCTGGTACTCTGTTTAAAGTCATGAAGTCATGAACAATTACCCTGAAAGTCTTTATATAAATGGCAGAGGGAAGGTACATTACGGCGGTGGAAAAGTGACTGAGGCTGGAATTTCCCTTTGGATTTTATCGAGAATCTCTAAATATATAACAGGAGCACCAGAATATACGTGTCAAAAATGATATATTCCTTGGTAGGTATTTGCACGGCCTTTTCAAATTTTGCTATTCCACAGGCACATATGTTTAAAAAAGCATAAAATTAAAATTATCTAACAATTAAATGAGGGAAGACTTTTCAAGTTTGGCTTTTAATTTCAGTTAGACTTTGTGCGATAAAGCATTATCATTACTAACATTATTCATATTCGTAGTAATGTACGTATCTCTGTTGTTATTATCAAGCTTTTAGACCGTTGGGTTCTTTTAAAGTGTCTGTTGACCGGGGTAACATTCAATGAATCTTGAACAGTACGTATTTAGTTAATCTACAGGAGTAGATTGTTCTAATCTCTCTGTTAATGTCTAGGGATATCCCGTTTTATCCATTTAATACTACTCAGTTATTCCTTGTTCTGTTTACGCCAAATATCTGTACTAGCCGGCTCAGGAATTGATCCCACAATTACTCCGTTCACCAAACACCTTAATAGTCTTGCTATATCTGTCTTGAACTTTTAATACTGTGCAGTTATTGTTTGTCATTTTTCTAACGAGTCTCTCTATTAACGTGCTCAGGACTTGAACTCACAATCGAAACAAAACAGCTTAATCCATTTGGTTCTAAGTTCAAATCTGAACCTAGGGCTTGGAGCCTTAAACTCAATGTCTTATTTCCTGTCGCTCAATGTTGCTGTCGCGCTTGAACGCCCTGACCGCCGTTATGCGTCGCTGACTCTTGCCGTTGACACCTTTCTATTTTTTCTTTTACAGCTAACTAAAGAAGGCCGTTGAATACAACGAGCAAAACGCTGTGATAACAACGAAGATGAAGGCATTGGACTAGCAAGCTACGAATCTCCATGAGCACATGTTCTCGTTATTTATTGATATGTTTTATGTCGGAGAAAGCATATTAAAAAGAATATTTCCGATAATTCAAACCAAGAAAACTTTTAACAAATATATTCAGTGATTAATGCAATAAACACAGAGAGTTTTATAAAATTTTAATCATTTATTGAATTTCTTTGTGAATTAGGATGTGCCTGTCTCAAGCGTGTTCTTTTCATGACGATTTTTTTCAGACTAATATATTTTAATAAAGGAATAAAATTCAAGTGCAGACATTTCTTTTTCTGCATATCAGACGAAAATAATCAAAATGTTATTCGGTTCCACATCTACTTAATGATACAAAATTCTTGAAAATTGAATTAATTTTTAACAGTTGAAATGGAGCTTTGGTTATAAGTATCAATCTGTAAGAAGTAATTGAGAAGTATATATATATATATATATATATATATATATAAAGAACTAAACAAAATGAACACAAAACGATCAGCTTTAAAAAAGAACACGTAACTGGAAAAAACAAATGAAAAAAGAATGAAAAAAACAAACTTTTTCACACCCAACCCAGTTCTGCAGAATCAGAATTAAAGTTGAGTTTAAGCAAGCGAATGTGCCAATTGGAGTAAAGTGCCATGCAGATTTAAATTTTTCCCACTTGTGACGAATGCAGCTATCAATTTTTTTTTTGCATGCTAGCATGCTAGTTAACATTCGTGTCAGTCAGCTGTTGGCTCTTACGTTGGCCAATAGAATCTTTCTGCCTATTCGTGGCAGCCAGCTATAGGCTCTCACTCTGGCCAGTACAGAATGACCGCAAACTACATGAAAACTACCATAGAAGCA